GTACCAACTGTGCCCATTAAGATTAGCCTCTGTGTTATAAAACTTGTACAGTTTTCACACAAAAAAACAAAGAACTAAATAGTTAAAGTCATAGGGAAACAGCTGTTCCAACCATTGCAGTTCTGAATTCTCCCGGGTGGTGCCTGAATTTACACGAGTGAATAAAGTGAATGTGATTGGTTGATTATTAAAGGGGTGAGGTTCTTGCGGCGGAAGATTCGCAAGATTTTTGGTTGTGGCCGGTGTCTCGGAAGCATCTTGCTAACCAGTTAGCAACTTAGTGCTAGTAGCTTCCCAATGGGAAATTCCATTGGGACCAAGTAGCACTAAATTGTTGACTTAGAAACAACACTGTCAAGGAACGCTATGGACAATAGGAACATGCAACAGGATCCATTCATTTTTTTTATTTAGAGGAGGAAAGCGGGGACGAAGATGTTGTGGAAGAGGACGCCAGGGCGGCAGAAGCTTGGTTTGGTGTAGAAGGCTTACAGCCGTACATGTTTGAGCCCTTGCCTCGCAACGCTGCCAGTTCTGTTAGCTCTACGCCTGCTGAAGACACAGACGTCCATCCCCGTGAACACTGGGACGGAACTCAATGGGAAAGAAAATGATTCTTACTTGAACCATTGCGTATATTAGCTGCGACATATGAATCAAGATAGTATAACTGAAAAAAATTGATTGACAGGTGACCGTTGATGTACGACTGGCGGAATTTAGGTGTTCAGGGTCATTTTATGCAGGCCACTAACTGGCCTGCATAAAATGACGAAGAGAACCCCACAGATTTTAATACAGGATTTTTTTTTATGGAAATTTTCTAACTTTTGGGACAATATTGTCTGATAAAGAACACATTTATATAAATGTTTAAGCTAGAATGATATAAAATTAAAATATACGACTTTAACAGTGACACAATCTAAACTCTGATATGAAGGAAATATTAATATCATAAGTTCACACACATACAAATACATAGATGTGTGTGTCTGTGATGTTTTTGCACCTGATAATCTTTTCTCATTCCTCCCGAATGACATAGTTTAAGCTAACTCCTTCAGTTGAACACATGGGAGCATTGAAAACAGCCAAGGCAAATGCAGAATCCGATTTTTGGTTGCATTTCACTTCATTGCTCATTTCCCCAGCCACCCCTCCACTTATCTGACATCTTAAGTTTAATGCTAATGCTGGTTTAGGTTTACATTTAATCCAACCACACCTTCCCAGTAATATCCTATCCTCCCTGTCCCAAACTGCTTCTTACATTTCCTGCTCTTACTCCCATTGTATTTTATTTGCTTCCATCTCTTCAGTTTGTATCCCATCCCATTTATCTTCATTTGATTCTCCGTTTCACTTATTTTTGCGTCTTTTTATTCAGAATCTTCATGTCGAAAAAGGTCAGTTTTTATTTTTCTCAGCACTCCAGAGAAATACCCTATATTTTAGCTTCTTTTTAGGATTTCCTAAAATCCTTTTCTAAAAACATCAGCACCCTCTCTACTATCCTTCATATGCCTTTGACTGGCCTTCAACTGAAGCCTTTGTATAACTACACTGGCCTTGAAAAGTGGCCTTGACAAGCAGGAGATGTATACAGCTTTACACAAACACACACTTCTGCTGCTGCACAAAAACACAAAACTGGCAAGCCTATCTTTCACACTGGCTGCAGTTCAACTAACATAGTCCCATCCTGAGGAGTAAGCAGATGTAACTCACTTTCTCATACACACATAAACATGCATTCTAATTTATCCTACAACTAACAAATATTTATTTTAGTGTAAATAATCTTAATGTCCTTTATTTGATGGCTGTGTCGTTCCTGGGATGTTCAGAGGGGAGGAAGGAGCTCAGATCTGTTTTATTTGGTTCCAACTGTGATCTGGATCCCAATAATAATGGAGTTACACAAAAATCAGTTTTGTAAATGAGAATTTTAAAAGACAATGCAACACAGAAATGAAACTTTTCAGACACTTTGGAGAGAGATTTTGACCTTCTCCTTTTTTGTTTTAAATATGAAAAAAATCCTGATTAAATAAAAAGAAACCATAACTCCCTTTTAAAAATTTATTTATTTTTTAATAAAGCTTGTTTGACCCAATAACTAACCCATAGTTAGCACCTTTTGAATGTTTTGTAAAGTGTCATGTCTCCATGACAACTGGTTAAAATCCAGAAGAGCTGCCAAAAAAGGAACAGATAAAAATGGATAAAACTATTATGATAGAGACTGAGATACGCCATTTATTAGTAGTTCCTGTCTCTTTTTTTCTAAATGGTTTGCATTTAGTTAGCATTGAGTTTGCATTTTCCTGACATTTTGAATTGAAAAAACTTGGAAACAATGTCCAGTAGATTGTTTTTAACTTTCTTTTTTGGAATGGAGTCAGAGTAAAAAAAATGCACAACCATGAGAGAAGTTGGAGGGGATTTTGCTGCCATTCGGCTGGCTTTTAACTGGGAAGGGCCATTTTGAATGGCTGCTACTGTATATTATATATTATGATATGTATTATATATTAACATATTATTAGCACCAGAGCACAGTTGTTTTCAGACAGCAACTAATGCACACCACAGTTCAGCTGGAGCCAAACCGAGAACACCTTCTAGTTTGATGCGTATTAGAGTCCAATACTTTCAATACTGACCTAAATGGACCCATAATAACCCTAAATGAAGTTATCACCAAAGTTTTTCTAATGGTTTTCTTCATTTGTGAAGTTGCTTAAGAGAGTGGCTTGTAGGGGTGGAACGGTTCACAGAATCCACTGTTCACATATGTTGATTGTTGCCTTACATGTTGGTCATGTTGCTGTTAGCATAAACAAAACGTGTTGCACAATGCTTGCACACTGTTGCACTTTTATCCACAACTTTCTTTCCGCCGTCATCGTAGGTCACTCTAAATGCAAAGTGGTCCCATACAGCAGACCTATAAAGTGCTGCTGGCGCGTCTTCCAACTCCTGTTCTTTCCCACTCGCCATTCCCACACAATTCTCCACAACTGATATTTTTCTGCTACACCCAGCTAAGCTGCTTCTTCTTCTTCTTGTTTACTACTGGTGGTTGGCTTTGGTCGCAGTACCGCCACCTTCTGCTCTGGAGTGTAAACGCTTCACCTATGAGAAAAAGGAGCAGCGCATGAACCGAACGCAACACACGCAAACCAAACCGAGACAGTCGAACCGAACGGTTCAGACGGTTTTCATAAACCGTTCTATCCCTAGTGGCTTGATAAACTTCATCTCTCAAAGTAAGCACAGTGTTACTCCATTCCCTTTTAATATTTGGAAGTTGGTCTGAATTGCTTTTTTTTTTAATAGGATTGGTCAAATAGGAAACTATTTGATTCCCATTGAAGACTATGGTTAAATATTTCAAATTATAACCACAGAATTGCCTTGATATACAAAATAATATGATTTTAGACGTGCAATTCAAACCACGGTTAATCAGTTAACTATGAAGCTTCTGCGATTAACTACGATGATTTGACAGCCCCTATTGTGTGTGTGTGTGTATATGATTTTTTATAACTTACTTTTTTTTAAATATCTTGACAGATTATTATATCTACTTGTATTCCTTTTTCACTTTTTTAGATTGAATTTTTAGGATTGCATTCGTTTCAAATTGATTTTTTAACAGATCACATTCTCTTTTCTTTAGGCACAATACAAACACTCCATCCTGCCTTGAGTGTTTCTATTGCAGCTGATAGAAATGTGTCTTCACTCATCACTCCAGAGGAAAGCCTGTGCCCAAACGTAAAGAAAATGGGTGCATGGTGCATCCTAAAGACAAAACCCCCAGACCAAATATGAGCGGAGTGGTGAGCAGTTCAATGCAGTGAGGAATGCTCTGATCTTTATATTAGAGAAACCAAACAACCTCTCCACAGATGCATGGCCCAACAAACACAGGAGAGCTACCTCCTCTGGACAAGGCTCAGCGGTAAATCTACACCTTATGGACAAAGGACCAGACTTATGGACTTTTGAGGACCAGAATGTTCACATTTTGGACAGAGAGGATAGGTTGTTTTTAGAGAGGCGTGAAAGAAGCCATCTATGTTAAGAAAGAAAAACATTAAACAGAGGGGGTGGACTCAGATTTCAGCTTTCAAAAATCTAGAATACAGCAATAGAGTTGATTCCTTCCCTCTATTATTGCAACCCCCACCCCATACAGGGGACCAAAAACACCTCGCCTGTTCAGCCAGGGCAACAGTTCCCTGTAATGACCCTCATTCAGAGACATAGACAGGTATCGGTTATTACAGGCAAACAAAGAACTCAAACAACCCCCAGTCTTAAGGGGCGGACCCGTTGGTCCGGTTCAATTTGCATGTTTTCTAAGTCAAACAACTCTATGTTTTTGGTCGACTCTATAAAGCCTCAAACTCTATTTCTAACTTTGAAAAAGCTTCCTGGATGGGAAGTGAAATTGCTTCAAACTTGGAAACAAAGTCCAGTGTGTTGTTTTTTAACTTTTTTTGATAAGACTATGACCTGGATGACTGAGAATCTTCACCAGCATAAAGAAAAATGGAAAAAGGCAATTTGAAAAGCATACAATTCATAAAACTCAAACAGAAAAATACAAATTTGAACATATAGAACTGAGAAAAAAGAAACTTTAACAATAAAATCCGGGGGAAAAAAACAGTAAAGATACTGTTGAAACTTTCTTTCCATCAAGACGTTTTTCAGTTTCATTTCTGGATTGCCTTTCTTTATTTCTTTTCAATTTTATATTTATAGAGCCCTTTTTTGCCTGCAACAAAATTGGAACAAAACTGACTCTACAAATAAGAACAAAAAAAAACAAAAAAACAGAAAGTAAACAGCTGGTTACAAAGATGAGAACATGACATGGTTTCTGGTACCTGTTGCTGCTTCCTGCTGCTCCCTCTGTGAGGCTGATACAGTAACCATGTGCAGATGATTGGGTCCACATTTACAGCTATGCCCTGGACACTGACCAGTAGGACCGCACCTAAAACACAAAAAAACAAAGGAAAACATGTCATAAATCAAGCATAACGGGGAAAATATAAGATAAAAATTAATTCTTTACATCTGCAGATTAGCTTTGCAGTGGTTTGATAATGTTACCATAAAAGCAAAGATAAAATATCCGTAATAAAAGTAAACCTAGACCAAATCAATCTATTTTGTTATTAGAAGGGTTGAGCAGTAAAATAAAGATTCCTAATAAAAGAATCAGTGTATGATAATAAGCGCAAGTGACCCAGATCGTGGATGTTTTTCTTTTTTTGTAGTGCAGGTCATGCTGGGCTTCATGGACCTGCTGCCGGGTATCAAGCAGGCTTGTAGGAGTGAAGCTAGAAGCACAGTTTGTTTCAATTTCGCTGTTCAAAGTGGTATCACACTAAGCCAAGAATAACATTTTCTTTTGATAAATTTCAATGAAACTCAAGACTTTCATTGCGTTTTGGTCTACTCTTAAAAAAAAAAAAAGACTCTTGATCAACAATAAGCAGGCCCTGAGGTAATGCATTAGGATCATATTAATAATGATTCCCATGCCGGCAGGATTAGTGGAGGCTCTCTGGCTCGCTGTGGAATGTCCCGGCATGACGATAGGAGGATGTTTTTGCTCTAGAAAGACTTTCAGCAGTTTAACGGAGCTTTGGATTAAAATCCTGATGTTCTGTTTCAGATCCTGTTCAGGCATCGGGGGCTGAACTGCAGGGAGAATGAACAAGTCTGTCTTCTTACCTCCAGCAAAGCCTGACTGCCTGTAGCACATTTTACTGTAGTTAAACCATGGACACACTAACAGACACACATCCACATATTTTTCAAACACTAGCTCTCTAGGTTGGTTTTCTAGGTTCCATTTCTGTTTGTGAACATCATCTGGTCTGTTCCTGTTTGGCTGTGACTCCATCCTGGAGAGAAATAGCTGTGCTGCTGCCATCAACACCTTTGTTTGTAGATGTTGGAGCTCTGCTTGTTTTTCAGTGTAGTCCTGTTTCTCTGACTGTGACTGGCTGGATGTGCTCTCCTCATCCTCTTACATGGGAGTTGGCTCGGAGCTCGTCTGCCTGGCTGTGTGTTTCCTGGACGCCGCAGCCTTTTACAGCTGCTTTTTGAATCCCTGTCGGCCTCAGCAGATGGCCGCTCACACTGAGCCTGGTTCTGCTGGAGGTTTGTTCCTGTTAAAAGGGGGTTTTTCCTCTCCACTGTCGCTATAAGCATGCTTAGTAAGAAGGATTGCCTTTGAGTCATTGAGTTGATGCGATCAACTGGTTTTCCTTAGGTAGAAACTTTGAACCAATTTGACCGTATGATCTGGTTGAATTGTCTCTGTAAACTGAGTAGCGGGTAGCACTGCCGCCTTGCAGCAAGTAGGTTCTGGGTTTGATTCCCGGCCCGAGGTTTTTCTGCACAGAGTTTGCACGTTCTCCCTGAGCATGCTTGGTTTCTATCTAGGTACTCCGGCTTCCTCCCACAGTCCATAAACATGACTGTTAGGTTAACTGTCTTCTCTAAATTCTCCTTAGCTGTGAGTGTGAATGGTTGTTTGTCTTGTTTGTCTCTGTGTTGCCCTGCGATGGACTGGCGACCTGTCCAGGGTGAACCCCGCCTCTCAGCAGCCTGCTTGGGATAAGCTTGTCAGGAAATGGATAAATAAACTGAATTGAATTATTCAGATTAAAAGGATGCTAAACCAACAGGTAAATTACTCTTTAATCTATGCATTTGTTTATCTTTGTTAATATTTGTAATTGCATTTGAAGAGTTTATATAAACATCCCTATTTCCAGATGTAATGTCAGGTTTTCCAATGGCCTTCTTTTAAATTCTCGCCTAAACCTGTCCTTATCCAGTCCTTCATCTTCTTACCCAAGTTTAGTATTTTTTATCATTATAAACTCGCTTTTGCATCAATATTTGTAAATTCCTTTATTCCTCTACACATACTTATCTTTCATAAGTTATGACTCACGTTCTCCTCCTGACAAGGAAGTATAGCTCAAAAGTGTGGCTTGAACTTTTATACCACATTGTGGCTGCTTAATAGGCTTTGGCTGTGGCTACAGAGCTGAGGTTTGACTTCAAGCAGTTTCATCATCACTTTAGGACAGCGTGCGCATCATGGAACCCAAAAAGACTGGGAAGAGGCTGGGTAGTAAAGATGTTGTTTAATGAAATGATTTTCAACTGCGGTCTTTGGGATGCAGTGAGCCCAGTTTATCACATTTAGCCCAATCAGCAGAAATGAAGCACAGGACAATAAATTACAGCAGCCAGCAAAGGCATCCATCCATGGTCTAGGAAAATACTTAATTGCTGCCTATTTATACACAGCGTCTTTCTGACAAACATGCAGCCAGATAGTTTTCTATGTTGCATCTACTGCTGAAAAAAATAACCTCTCAAAAAGCAGTTTTTCTTGTGTTATATTTACTTTTTTAGTCCATGTTTTAAAGATTGAAAGGCCGCAGCAATCTACTGCATACTTTTTCTTCTCGTTTTATCACTACTTTGACATGAGTGACAAATCCTTTGAAGCACAAAGCACCATGAAAGGGCCTTGCATGCTTAAAAGGTGACCTCGACAGCAGGCCAACTGTTGTTTTTGTCCCTCCAAGCTAGCAGGGTGGTATATGGGTAATTACACACAAGTGATGACAATGATAACAAAGGTGTTTTTCTTGCTTCTTAAGTAATTCCTGAAGAGAAAATAAAAACAAAATTGCACAGTGGCCTAGACTTTGAAACTATGAACCGCTGACTGCTGTATGAAAATAAAGCAAGCATCAGGTTGCCTGTGGTGCTCATTAATGTCAAAGGTGTTGTTGTGTTTTTCCGCAGTGGTAAAATAGTAGTAGAGCTAAAAGAAACAGGGGGAGCTGCTCGTGTTGTTTTACGGCTCTGTGACATCAGGCTGCTCATGGCCTCAGGCTACATAGATAGGTCAAACCAGTAGACTTATCTCAAGTCATATCAACTTCTTTCTCCAAGTCAGTCGTCAAGGAAATCTAGTAGCTATAAAGCTTTTAAGTTTGCTGTGGGTTTGTGTGCTTAAACAAGTAACACAACCTATTGGGGACATATTTGAGAATAGAATATGTCTGTTCTGTTTAACTGCAACCCTGAAATTTAAGGAATTTGGAGCTCTTAGGTTAGAGCAAGTTCAAAACCATGTCCCTTATTTAGCGCCAAAGTTCTGATTGGGGTTATAAAGGGCGCAACCTTCCAATTAGAAGGCCATGACCTCCACGGTAAGCAAAGGGTAGAGACACATAGGAGCTGCTTCTGAACCCCAACTGCCCCCCAGGCAGATTCCTGGAGGTGGGGGGAAATTTTTTTCTTTTTTTTTCTTGTTGTCCCAGCCAGCTAATCGCCCCCTCAGAATCGCTTCATTGTTGGATGTGAGGCAACACAGGGACTGTGCGTCCACCTTCTCTAACAGAAAATAAATAAATATAGCCCAGCCCGTGTCAGCCAGATGACTTCTGACAGGTTTGGTTAATTTCTAAGCCAAGTAGCAAAACAAAACATTACGCCAGCGAGCAGAGCATACACCGCCTTTAATTGCTTTTCCGATGAGCTCATGACTTAAAGGTGTCCTGGAGCGAGCTATGCGGCTCGACAGGTGTTCTGCTTATGAGTGTGTAGGTGTAGCCATACGTGTAATTGTCTGTGTGTGAGAGAGACAGAATGTAAGTAAAAAATGGAACTGCTGACACCATTACAAAGGGACTCAGCTGTGTGTGGGTGTCTGGCAAAGAACACAGTGTGAGGTTGTGTGTGTGTATATATATATATATATATATATATATATATATATATATATATATATATATGGGTGATGAACAGATTTTTTTATATATATAAATACACACAAAATTGTGTCTTAATATTCTCTATCACTAATGTCACACAAACATACCACAGGAACCAAGGGGCTCAGGAAGGACACCGACAGTTTGACTGGAAACAGACCCTGCTCTATGTAAAGCCAGCTCTCTTTCTGGACTTATTTAATACGCTACACAAGATCCTGATATATAATGTAGGTGTATGTATATGTAGAGAGGTGGGAAGGTTAGCAGCCTACATTGGCTTACACATGTTTTCACATCTTTAAGTATGATGGAACAACAAGAGCTCGCAGCTGCAAGGGTAGGAAAAAAAAAATCTTTGGTTACCCTGCTTCTAAAGGTTTAGGCTCCTTACTATGATACATTACAAGAACATTTTTAAGCACCATCCAAACACACACACACACATACATGTATATATATATATATATATATATATATAAGTAAGTAAAAGCTACATATAAGTAAAAGCTTTTCAAACATGCCTCAACAAAATGACTTTAGAAAAATAAACCAATGAAACAGGAATGAACAAAAAAAAATAATCTAGAAAAGAGTGAAAATGTGATCAAAGGAGTAAGTTAAATCAAGGTGTGAGCACTAAATAGTATCACAGGTGTGTCCAATGTTGTAATCAGTCAGTGGGCCTATATATAAGGCTACAGTTAGTTACTGTGCTGTTTGGTGGCATGGTACATACCGCACTCAACATGAACCACAGGAAGCGAAGGAAAGAGTCGTCTCAGGAAATCAGAAAGAAAGTTACAGACAATCATGTAAAAGTTAAAGGTTATATGACCATCTCCAAGGAGCTTGATGTGCCAGATGAAGGTTGTGCTAACAGCCCAACACTCTACAGGACGCTTTGCATTTGCAAGAAAACACCAGGATTGGCAAGTTCACCACTGGCCTCTCGTGTTCTCTACAGATAAAAGCAGCTTCACACTGAGAAGATGCGACAGATGTGACAGAGTCTGGAGACACCATGGAGAGCGATCCGCTGCCTGCAACATCCTTCAGCATGACCGGTTTGGCAGTGGGTCAGTAATAGTGGGGGGTGGGATTTCTTTGGAGGGCCGCACAGCCCTCCTTGTGCTCGCAAGAGGTAGCATGACTACCATGAAGTACCGAGATGAGA